TGCTCTGATCAAAAGTGTCGCTGACTCTCAGCTCCCTGCCATGAACGTAACCAAATGTACACAAGCCGCGCGAAGCGAATCGGCGTCATACTTAAGTAGTAATTCAGTTACAGTCATTGAATTACTGTAATTTAATTACTTTAATTAATTTGTCATTGTAATTAGTTACTTTTTGCTAAAAGGAATTGTAATTGAAATTTAATTACTTTCAAGCGTCAGTAATTGCAAAATTTCCGGCTCAATTCAATTACTTTTGCAAGATTTTGCGGCGCCGGCACTTTTCCCCGTGACCACGGAGACAACAGTACAGCCAAAGGGACAGGAAAGAGGGTGTATCTCAATCTGCTCAAAAAGGAGGGAAAAGAGGAACGGAACAGGGAGTCCGGGATAGAACAAAATGAAGGGTTTTGTCGACTGTAAAACGATTTAATAAAAAATTTGAGAAATAAATTGAGAAATAATAGCGAACTTCGCGTCCGTTTTCGTTCTTGTCGTAGTGAAATCTGTCTCTTCGTCTCGTTCGCTTCCTGTTGCTCGTGTTCCTAGGGGTCATTCTTATTTCTCATTCACATCCGAGGGCAACATGGCTCGAAGTCGAGCTGGTTGGGCTCGGCTCACATCATACGGTTGAGGCGGGGAGGTTCGAGGTTCTCCTTGCGCGTCTTCGCCGCTAGCATATTCGCTTCCATATTTCAGTGAAGGTTGGAGATTTTTATTGTCCATGAAATTGTTCTATTTTCTTTATGAGTTCTTCACGTCCCTCTCCTCTATCTCGTCTGCTGGTACCACTAACATTTAGTCGTCCTACTCTAATATCGAGGCGAAGAAGCAGCAGGTCTCGTTAACACGACTCACTCCGCCTTACTTCCAACCGTTGTTGCTACACTGCTCTTCCATCCCCCAATCATCGTCTACCTTTTTGTATAAATTTTCATTATTTAGTGTTTGCTCTAACCCGTTTCTCAACCTGATTGGACGAGATTCCGAAACTTTACAAACCTCGACGTTAGACTGTAGGGAGCTTGTTTGTTACATTTGTTTTTCGTTGAAGCCTTTCTTTCTTTATATAGGGCTTCTCACGCACGTACGTGGCTTGCACTTTGTTTTTACACCTCTATCGTGACCCTCCACGCGTTGTCCTCTCGTCCTGGCCTGTGTTATTGTCCCGAGGCGCGCAGTGTCGCTTTGCATTGAGAACCTGCAACAGTCTTATCTACAATGGAAAAGGTAAGGCTGCCGTGGCCTTCTTACGAACATTTCTTTGAACAGATTAGCAGCAATGGAAAAAAATATAATCGTAAGGTGCAAAGTCTGCGCACCGTCTCTAAAAAAACATATTCAACAAACTGAAAGGCGACCTCCAATTTGCGGAAACATTGGCGGGTAGGCAACTTTCTTGTCACTTTCAATACTTACAGTTATTAAAAGTAATAATGGCTCGTATATATCTTCCAGCTGAAACACTCAAGTAATTCATGAAATCGAGGCGTCCAAGAGGCCGGAGTTTTGTAATAATTCGCGGGTTCTGATTTTCGTGACGCGGTGGGATCGCAATGTAGATGCCAATGTGTTTATATTTTACCGGAATTCTTCGCGGGATCTATTTTTCGCGAATTGTAGACGATCCGCAGATTCGCGAGAAAAAAAAAAAAAAAAGTCGGTTACAGTATATCATGAACTTTTCGAGTTGCTTCTTGCGATACTAAATTCAAATCGGTCTTGTTTTTGAGGCGCATAACATCGATACAATCATGCTATCCCAATGATTAGTTACATGACGATCCTAAAATTATGACCTATTTCAGGAGCTTTTTTGGGTGTTATCGTGAACTGGATTAACCCAGAATTTCTGGCAAGAGTTGCTGCTATTGTCACACTAGTTGTATGAAAGCGACCGCAATTCGCGTGCTACGGTTACCCACATCCGGCATACTACGCCTCCACAGACATAGACAGGCAGCGAATCATTGTGGATGAAATGTTTTCGTAAGTTGTCGTATTCTTTAAATGATTTACGTGTTTACAAGTTTCTCTTATCACCCATTTTACGTGAGTTTTATTATACCAGTACTGTCGCATATTTGTTTCCTTGTATTATTTTCAAGTTTATTTTTTGTTGGGGTGACTTGAATACCATTTGCATAAGCACTAAGGAGACTCACCTCGCACCTGTGAATTTTGTCACCATTGATTCGGGAGCCCCGATTCGATTCTTATAAATTTCTGTGCCATTGTTATTTCAACTCAATGTACAAAATTTACAATAACATGAAACGTTTGTTGGCGTGTGTGGTGGTATTAGTGCTTGTCGATGGTAGTTTGATATAACACTAATAAAATATTCAGATATCACTGTAATCATTGTCGCATTTTTATTTGCCCGGCTACCAAAAGTGAGTCAACCCAATTTCGCTTGGCGATCGGGTGTCTTGGAGTATATAAAGTAATTTATTTTTATTTGTTGAGAAATAAAAACGCAGGAGTTCATTACTCCAAACTGTTAAGTTCTATAAGTCATTTAATAAATTTCATTATAGGAAAGCACAATACGTGACATTTATACAGCGGCCATATAACTCGTTTAAAGCTATATGGTCCAAGGTGGGTAACTCTCAGAAATAAGTAATTGTAAAGTAATTGCATTACTTCTTAAAAGTAGCTTGTAATTGCAATAAATTTCTTTTGCGTAGTAGTAATTGTAATTGTAGTTAAACTACTTTTGGAGCAAAGTAATTGTAATTGTAATTAAATTATAATTTGAAAGTAATTTATCCATCTCTGATCGGCGTACAGAAGGTCCTTGAGGAGGCAAACGCGCGTTTAACTTGCGCGATGAGGCCAACCGCGCCCTCCGGCGACCTCCGCGCAAGACTGCGTATGTGCGGACCCGCGACGTTGAACTAATGGTACGCTGCATAGCCAGAAGAGGGCACCACGCGCGAAGCCGCCGCAGAGCCATAGACGTCGTCGCTTCGAGGCGGGCGGTGTCCGTTGGAGTAGAGGTGCACCGCTGTTTCGACGTATCGGACGGGCAAAAACGGTTGCCTAAAACTCTCTATTATCGCAAATTTCGAAATATAACAAAGAATAGATTGCCCCCTTAAAAAAAAAAAGCAGGTTTGTATAGAATATTATATACTATTTTCTTACCTAATGCAAACAGCTAATTGAAAGCCGGTGACCTCTGTACATGTTCGCCACAGCTCACTTAACGTACCATACCTCACATGGAACCACCTCTTCGTACATATATCACCCTTTCTACAGTCAGGAAGGCGTCTGAAAATATTCGGGGTATTTGTCAATTTGGCAGTGAACAAATATCTAGTTCAAGGAAACATTCGGACATTTATGAGACCTGAACTACAAGTGTTCAAGGCACTCGTCGCCGTACATAGTTGGTGCGTTATCTCGGAAGCGAATCAAATAAGCTGCGAATTGCAAAATTAAGAGGTCAACATTAATTTAACTAACACGATGTGTTCGCAAGCGCTTGTTATTACCTTCTCATGGACTATGGTCGAAGAAAACGATGAGGAATGCGAGGCTCCGAACAACATCTATACATGTGCTTGATCACGTGATTTCAGAGACCTTTATTCTTCCGGCAATAACATGACCATTAAAATCCGGATGGACTATGTGCAGTTATGACTGCATCATTCATTAACTTTCGATATTTCTTCGCTGTAACAATAATGGAATTATACGAAGCGCAGTTATGTAAACCATGTGCAATACGTGCAGTGTCTCCCTTCGGGATTGTTTTGTCCAAGAATGACGTGCAGCAGCAATATTGCACAGCCTTACTTCGGTGCGGCAACTACATGTATAGGCGTGATACTGCGCGAAGCGGCGGGCAAGCACCGTTGCCTAAAACTTAAAAAAAAAAAAAAAAAAAAAAATTGGGGGAAGTGATTTTTTTTGCGTTCCCCGTCAAATAGTCCAAAAACTATTTTGACATTATGACGTCACCTCCGTAAAATGCCAAACTAGTGGCTTTATTATTTCGATGTCCCCCGTCGATGTAGCCGTCGCAGTGGTAGCGTTGTACACGTTTCACGGTTGCGTCCGTTTCGTTCTATTTCGTTTCTGATGGTGTTGTCGGTCGGTGTTGTGTTGGCATGTTGACGGAGTCGTGTGTCGCACGCACAAGAAGTTCTAATACTGATTGGAACTAGAAATGCATCATTCAGCGTGTGTGCGCTCGACTTGCTCGACACTCGATGTTTTCGGACATGACATACCCGGCGGCGATGTTCTCAGCTCTCGCACGTCATTTCGACACGCGTCTCACTTAAAAGTTTGAATCCTCAACAAAGGCTCCCGTTCTTTTTTTAACCGGGTTTCGCGAGTTTGTTCTTTAGTTTGTATGTGTTTCCTGGTGCGTGTACGATTGGGATAACTGCGAAACAATTGGAATGTTAAATAAAATGTGAATGCGAACATTGCCTTCTTGATGCTTCTTGACCGGTGCACACGAGCAACAAAATTCTCATATTGCAGTCTGCGCCACGGTTGTACGAGGTACACACATTTTCCGACAGGAAATGTCATCCAATTAACGGCAAATTTGATGGCACGAGATTGAGCTCCTTTGTTTATATAAGACAGCAGAAATAAAGAATGAAAAGCCAAGGTGCTGTATTACGTAATGCTTCGCACACTCAGGCAAACATTACCTGAGGCCTATTAGCTAACGTTGTACCTTAAAAAGTTTCTTCTTTTTTTTTTCTTTGAAAGGGGACAATTTTTTTTAATGTCTTTCCTTGAACCATTTAAGAGGTTATCAAAGCTGCAGTCGACTGCACCACTTTTGTTTTCAGAAAATGAGTGTTGAACCGCGACGCCGTCCGCAAGCAAGGTATCTTTGGACCGCCACTTTCGGTCACTTTCCATCCGGACTTCGAAGCTCAGAAATTTTCAGTTTGAGGCGTCAAAATAATACAAGTAATCATAAAAAAAATCTATAATTTGACGGGGGACGTGAACATGATTTTGAAAATATTTTTACGTCTTCAGGAAGAGGACTCACAGACGATAAAATAATACTCAAAACTATTTTGAACGTAAACGTCAAAAAAGTCACTGCAAAAAAAAAAAAAAAAAAAAAAAAAAAAAAAAAAAAAAAAAAAAAACTAGCACAATTGAGGATCACGAGGACCGCGTGCCGTATTCCGAGGTAAACCAGTGTACTCCAGGGGGTGCACGTATTCCTCATGTAGAAGACACTCACGCAGCACGACACGAATCCGCACACACCGAGATTCTCGCAACCCACCCACGCCGCAGGGCGCACACGGAGGACACGCGTGCTTCGCGGCCGAGCCAGAGGCCTCCGCGTGTTCACCAGGAGGGATCACAGTGCCCGCTGTCCCAACGCAAGTCGACGTATCCGAGCGGTAAAGGGTGTTTATCCAGATGTCTTCCCGCTGACGCCACGACGGCTTCCATCCACTCACATTTCACTCGCACGCACAAACGGTGCCGTCTCGCGCGGATCACGACAGCTGCGCGTTCGCGCGCAGTAGAACTAGGAGAAACACCTGGCTAAGGACTAGAGGCGAGGAGGCTCTTCGAGGGAGAGGGCGGCACGGCGACGCAGCCTCACATCCTGTGAAAGCTGGCACCGGAAGCGCGCGGAGGCAGGTTCTTGATGACGATGCGCGGGTGAAAGGCGTCCGGGTCCGGGTTGATGCACGTCAGGTTGGCGCCCTTGAGGAAGCCCCTGCTGCTGCTCCGATGGTGGTTGTGGTGGTGGTGGTGCTGCTGCGACAGGGGCGAGGACGTGGCGGCTTGGCTGACCGCCACAGCCGGCTTCTGGTACGGCGACACCGCGGGGGACGACGCCGCCGCCCTGCGGTGCGGGGAGGGCGAGGCTGTCCCCTTGGCGGTCCCCGGTGTGCACATCGGAGGGAGTGCGAGGGGCGGCCGCCCGAGAGGCCTACGCACGGGCGCCGGCGCTGGCAGGCCCCTGTGGGACACCGAGAGGTCGAGGGGCCGCGTGTCTTCGTCGCCCTTCTTGGCGCTCGGGGCAAGCGGGACGGCGGGGGGAGTCCTCGAGGTCTGCGGATGTGCCCGGGGCGGAGATGCGGGCAGCCCGGGGCTGCCGGGCCTCGTGCACTTCCCGGCGGGACTCTGGCTCTTCTTGGCCGGCTCCGGGAGCGACGCACTCTCAGGGAGCAGCCTGCCGGGCGAAGCGGGGCGGGACGCGCGGCGGCCATCCGCGGCTTCGACCTCGGCGACGTCGGCGCCGTTTAGCCTCACGTTCTTGGCCGGCGTCGCCCCGTCTGGTCGCTCCGGGGAGCGGTTCTGGGGACGCCGGGGCCTCTGGGCGTCCTGGCTGTCCTGGGGCCGTCCCTGGTGCCTGGCGTGCTGCAGTGGCCGCTCGGCGTCCCGCTGCTCCTTGCGCCTGGACTTCCTGGACAGCGGGGAGCGGGGCGGGGACATGGCCCGCGCCACCGCCGGGGGCACCTCCTTCGTCTGGATGGTGATCTTGTTGCTGCTCCTGTCCAGAGTGCTGATAGTGATCTTGGATAGGGCGGGGGGACTCACGGCGGGGGACTCGGCCGCTTTCCGCCGCTGTTGCTGCAACGGGGAGGACGACCAGACCACATCCGCCGCCTGGGCACTCCCGGGGGCAGCCGACCTCTCGGTCGCCGTTGTGCTGCGAGGAGCCCCCGGAGAGGCACGGAAACTTTAACGGACGCTCCCGGGACTGGTGGATAGAACCCCTGCAAAAAGTTCTTTAATCCGCTCAGCACGGCTGAGCCAGAGAAGGGCTCTATTTTATATACCTCAGAGCAACACTCCCCCCACGTTACAGTATTAACACAAAAGTTGACAATGCACCAACTAGGAAACAGCTAAAATAGGAAGAGCAGGACAGTCGTTTGGACTGAAACGTGCCTACGGAAGCGTCATCCTCAAGCCGCATGCAGCAATGCAGAAGTTGCCGCTATTCCTCCGTGATGAGATTATATTTAGGTCAACGCTCTTCCAAATCTGATTGTCCGAAGAAGTGGTCTTCCGGAGCGTATAAGCAGACACTGTTCGGATAAAAGTGTATATTAAGGATGATGAAAAGCAAGAAGCGCTCGGCGACGACAGAACGCGAACACCCCGCGGCCTTCGAGTGAGCGAGTCCACGCACGCCACACACGGGCTGGAGGACCATAGCCTCCCTCGTTCTACAAAGCCTGCGAAACAATTTGACCGCCGTAAAGGGGAAAGGAGGAACAAAAAAAAGGAAGCGCGCCGTCCGAGCATAGCGGACGCTAGGAGCCATCCCAGCCAATGCGGCGTTGAGGGAGTGTCATGCGACCTTGAGCTCCCTGTGTCGCCCCGCCCCACCAGCAGGTCACGCGACTTTCTCCCGGCGCTGGATCGGCTGGGATGGCTTGTGGCGTCCAGTGCGCTCGGACTGAAGGTGAAACGGAGTATAGGCACAAGGCCCACTTATACAGCGCCAAAAATGCCGGAGCGGTAGGATCGGAAAACAAGGTCGCGCTCCTTGTAGCGGCAAAGGAGAAGATGGGCGCGCTCAGTAGCGGCTCTGGTAGTCTGGAAACCAGAACCCCTTCCACTAGACGGCGAAGGACGACTTCCGGTGCAGGTAAACCCGAGTTCTCGGAGTCAAGCTTCCGTGCGCTTAGACCGGAGAAGGTGCACGAGGAGTCGAAAAAGCGAGGTAATCCAAGATTGCGAACTAAGATAAAAAAAAAAAAAAGATAATGGCGAGAGAAGTTGCGTCAGTTGCGGCGTGAGTCTGCAGTTTGCTCACTTTTGTTAATTAAAAGGTAACGAGGTAAGGCGAATAACGCGTTCGGATTTCGTTACCAGCTCAGGCTGTTTTTGCAAAATGTCTCGAAGCGTATTTGTTCTGTTTTGGATATGCTAATAAACAACGTAAACGTTCATTTGGCACAATGTTTTGATCGCCGTTGTACGAATACTCCGCGATCATCGACGATAGTCGCGTCCGTGCTGAACAGAGCAAGGCAAGGTAAGGATGTAACTTTGGTGCGCGGTGGGACACTCCCTCGGAACATGATCCCGATTATTAGCGAGTTTTCGCAGACCGATTTCGCCGTCCCGCAACGCTCTGCGCAACCCACTACGATACACGGAACTCTACAGCCAAGGCTATCGGCGCGCAGGCGCAGTAGCGGCTTCTTCGTTGCGGGGGCTGGTTAGCGGAAAGGGAAACGCGATCGACGAAAACTCCTTATTAGTTTTCGAAGACCGCGTTTCCCCCTCCGATATATCCCTCCGCAACGAAGAAGCCGCTACTGCGACTGCGCGCCGATGGCCTCGACTGTAGAGTTCCGGGTATCGTAGTGGGTTGCGAAGAGCCGTTGGGGGACAGCGAATACGATCTACGAAAACTCCCTACTGTTGCGTTGAACCTTCGCTATCCCCTCCTCTCTTTTTTCTCCATCCGTGCCTCCTTCCGCTTTTATTTTTTTCTCCGTTGCGGTTTGTTGTTCCTCAGGAGCACGCCGGTTCGTCTGCTCATGTTTTGGTGGCGCAGTTTCATTTTGACTTTCGCGTTCGGGCTGCTGCTCACACTTTCGGGACTGAGTGATAACAGAATATGGTTCACTAGAACAAGGTGGGTAAGCATCTCGTGCTTTCAGCGTTCGGCGATTAACGTGCTTCCCGCGCTGACACCAGACTTGTACCGTAGGCATTACAAGTAATCAAATTACTTGTAATCGATTACTTTTTGGAGTAATTTTGTAATCAGTTGATTACTTTTATTAGGCAGTAATCAGAAGAGTAATCTGATTACTTTTTGAAGTAATAAAATTACTTGTAACCGTTACAATTTGTCCATGGGACCCCCCCCCCCCCCCCCCCCCCCCCCGGGCACACGCCTTTTTTTTTTATAAAATGACAAAAATAAAATTAGTTTTTTTTTTCTCGGACGGAAAAAAGAAACATTTTTGCGGAGCTGTAGGAAGCGATGTCAATCTCTTTCTATATACAGTTTCTGTGGAATTTCCGTTTTTTTTTTTTTTTTGTTTTTTTCGAGCTGGGACTGGGAGTGGGAAGCCCCAGGGTAGCCACAGTGCGTGACAAAAGCCATTCAGGACTAAGTTTGAGGAAGCAGACTGTAGCTTTGTGAGTCCTTCGTTCAAAATAGCCCCCTTACGCACACACACACAGAAATAAAAAATAAAAACATCCTGCTTAGGGTACCTACTCGCAGCCCGTAGGAGAACCAGAACCGAAGAATGCCTAAAGCGGATGCAAAATATAACAAAGGCAGTTGAAATATTTCCCCATTTCCCCAACGCGGTCTTTGTGACAAGCAATGTTTCGAGTTGAGAAGTGGTCGAGGCGGTCTCTTCCGCTAATGGACACTACACATGAGCCGTTTCAAATCCTGGAGCTGCTGCTCTTTTGTATAACATGCGAGCTCATCCACGTGTGAATAATAAAATGAGCGACGCAAGCTTTGAGCGACAGCCCTTGCTCAAGCTTATCAAGATCTAGAAGCCCCTCCGCTCCCCCCCCCCCCCCCCCCCCCCTCACACACACACTGGCGAAGGCCCAAATCATTAAACGTCTTCAAACGAATTCTATGCTTGTGTCCGCATTGTGAAGGTGCAACGACCACGAAGAGGGAGCCAGTTTTTCTTCTTCAATACTTGTGAAAATGTGAAATATAGGTTGGAAGTAGTTCATTGTTATGAGCGCTAAAGATGTGTCTTCACACAATAAGGTAATCGGAAAAGTAACGATTACTTCTTTAAGTAATGTCCAATTAATTTTGCCGTCGAGTAATCAAGTAATCTAATCGAATACTTTTTAGCCAAGAGTAATAGTAATTGTAATCGATTACTTTTCTTTAGTAACGTGTGCAAGACTGGCTGACACCGCCTGGGGGTGGAACGTTCAAACGCCATAGCCTCCGAGATCCCGAAGCGCTTGCGCGAAGGCTCGGGATTTTGGAGGCCATGTAAACGCATATGTGTTTCGCGGAGAGGCCCCAGGCCGCCGCGTGGAGCTGGCTGAGGGTCACCCCCCAAGTGGCTCTGCGCTAGCACATCGGCAACCCTTCGGCGCTGCTCCTCGCCTTTTTCGGGCGGCCGGGCGCCCCGTGGTTCCGTCGGGGGACTGGCATGCTTCGGAGAATAAAGGAGGCTATAGGGCTGAATCAATCAGCCGTAAATGCTCCTGAAAAGTGCGTTCGTCAGATGTTAAAGGGGCCGTGGAATGAGGTTTGGGCGGGGACACATAAACTGAGATTAGGATTTTACTAATAGCATATCGTTTAGCGGACCAAAAGAAAGACGGTGAAAATTAAAAGCCTGCTTTTCGGCACAAACATTTTAAAGCGGAGCGGACTATTTCGTATCTTCCTTACTTCGAAAGCTCTCCACCTTTTCACTGTGATACATCCGCGGTACCCATAGCCATAGTCTCCTCTACACTAACAAAGCCTGGCAGATCGCCCCGAGAAGCGGTCGCCGAAATGGAAAAGGTGCAGCGGCAGACAATGGATGAGAGGAGAGCCACGTGACTGGCGCCCCACTGCGGCGGGACGCCGAAACACACTTCTCCCGTGCGAACATGTGTGTTTCGGGTCCTCGCCGCTGCGAAAGCTGTGCGCTGACGTCCAGGTTCCCCGAGAAATGTGTCCTTGATGCTCTGCGCTACCAGATCCTCGCGCTGCGAATCTGCGACCGGGCACTATATGGCTCCGCCGTCGAACTGCCACGCTTTGTGAGTATAGAGGAAGCTATGCTATAGCACGTCACTCGGCTCTGCGTCACTATGCCCCGTTCACCCCTAAGCTGACAGTGTGGTGGGAGCTACGCGCTTGCCGGACCAATCAGCCGCCTTCCTTCAATTGCCCGACCCCATACTCTGCGCGTGGGTATGCCCGAGGGAGCGTGATCACGTGGGAAAAATAGAAGTGTGCCTGGCCCAACGAGCACATCTTTCACAGTGCAGTCAGCTTAGGAGTGAACGGTGGATAGTTGCGCGCAGTACTCCAGAAACCACGGGCGGAGAAGGGGGGAAGCAAGCTTTGTCTGAATTCTGAGCGACGGCTAATCTTCTATGGGGGGAGAATGGCGACGTACACCGTGGCGCGGGTACACAAAGGAACCTCCAAGCAAGAGGGGAGTTCATCCTTTCCCTCCTCTTGAACTGCCGGTGGTCTAACCTGTTTCACAAGAGAGCCGCCATCTCGAAATTTCGTCACTTCCAGTATGGACGAAAACATTGTTTTCCCGTCGCCACGCCAATAGAATACATTTAGGATATAAGCATAACCGTTACCCATTCTCTTTTTGCCTCCCCTCTAGTTTTTTACTATTAGCAGGACGAAATGTTTTATTATCAATGCGAAAACACTAACTGTCCCATGCAGCGAACCTAAATCATCAGCTTTTGAAGCCGCGCCAGACGGCACCTAAACTCCCCTGTCCCAATGGAGCGAAGCCTGTCGTCTGTAGCAAAAATCTGATGGATAGACTCCCTTTGGATGGCAGGCGTCATAGGTTCAAGGAACGAGGCTCTCATTGGCCGTCGCGCGACGTAGTTTCAAGGAACGCCACCAGAGAAGCCCTCTCCATGGCGGCGCAGCGCAAGCAGCGACCCGGCCGCCGGCAAGAGGGAGCAGCTGGCCGCAGAGCCCGCACGAGAACTTCG